CGAGGAGGCCCGCCGCGCGCAAAGGCAGAGTCGGCGGACGAGTTGCAGCGCGTGGTGTGCGATGTAGGACGTGCAGTGGGACACTCTATTTACTTGACGCGAAATCCCTATAGCGCGCGACTCGTCCGCTGACTTTGCCTTCTTGCCGCGCGACGGGCCTCCTGGGGGGGGGGTACCTCCTTGCGAAGGTCAGACGCCCTTAGGCTGCGTCAGAATCCGCGATACGCGATACGAATGAGTAGCTCCTAAAGGTCAGTTCAAAAAATTAATTTCCAACTCAACTGTTGATCGGCTGAAATCGTGCTCCAACTCGTGCCTCGTACTGATTCTCCTTATGAAGTAGCCGTGCAAGGCCGAAATCGGCAATTTTCACATTCAGGTGGTTTTTTGTAAGAATATTACGTGCGGCCAAGTCTCGATGAATGAACTTCATTTCTTCCAAGTACGCCATTCCGGCCGCGACCTGCAAACGATCCCATTTAATTGTGACATTAATAAGTTCTGATCAGTAAATTAGTAAAACAAAAATGAGTTGGGGCAATTTTCTGACGAATGTCTTTCACGAAAGCAGCGCGAGGATGAGCTGCCTCTGTGTTCACAACAACGCTCCTTCGATTCTTTGTCTAGGGGTAGCCAAACAACTTTTTCTTCAAACTCCTCAGCTCGTGTGAATGAGATCGATAGCGGTACCAAGAAAACAGCCGCACCTTCTCCAACCAATATATGAAATTATGAAACGAAATAATGGAGAGTAATGCCAAATAGGGCGGAAGTGGTGTAGTGGCAAGTGGCACGCTTACCACGCGAGCGGTCCGGGGATCAAATCCTGGGTCGTGAGTCGCCCGGGCCAACCAAGCCTTCCATCCCTCCGGGGTCGGTTAATTGGTACCAGACTTGTCTGGGAGGATAAAAAAACACTGACTAAACGACCCTTTAAATAATAAACAAGCTTTAAGAATAAAATTGAATTCCGGTTAAAACATCTTAATCAAGATAATAATTAAAAGGATTAGTTTGATTCAACTTGTTGGGATTAAAATAATAACTTGTACATCGGCTGGCCCCCGCAAGTCATTGTATAGGCCACATCGCATTCAAACGCCACTACGAATGTACAAATGGAAGTAGAATGCGTGCCGCATCCCAAAAGGGATTGATCAACGGCAAATGCTTTATCCTTTATCCTTTTACTTAAAATCTGGCGTTTGTGACGTCTGCTGAATCTTAATCACAGCTGCAAAAATGGAATTAATAAAAATTCTCAAGACCTAAAATCTGAGCCAAGTCGAGTTGTTCCAATCTCTTTCTGAAAATTTTACCATTCCTAGCACTCATTACCTCACTAGGTAGCATTTGAAACCATCTAGCTGCCCGGTATAGAACGAATGTTGAAAAGTTGGGCTTGGTTTCTTCTTTGAATTCTAGCGTAATGGAGATTGAATCCACCAGCGCGTAGTCTACCAGGCATAAAAACCCAATATTTACTTGGTGTCAGGTTGACTTCCATGCGCAGTATTCGGAAACAGAAAACAAGATCAGAAATATTCTTCTCTGCCACAAATATGTTAGACCTAATCTTCTCAAGCGTTCACTATAGCTAGGCAAGTCCCGCCAGTTTAATCCTTTACATTTTCTCAAGAAAACAACTCTGGTGACCAAGTTCGACTTTGTATGAATCTTGGCATATTTTCAGAATAGAATAGTTTAGTACTGAGCTTCCGACCAAGATTGTCAGGTGGACCTCTCTGGCCAGCATGCTAAAGGCTCTGAAGAAGGTGAAAACCCTGAAACGTCAGCCAAATAAAGCTATTGCCAATCTTGGTCGAAAGCTCAGTACTAAACTGTTGTATAATGAGCATCATTAGGCCCGTAGATTTTTTCGGCATTGGACTCTCGCTGTAACGATCTTCACTGAAACTCTAGTACATAAACTGCGCCTGCAGGTTCCCCGCTGATCACGAACTTATTGTCTCTAGTCCTCCTGCAATTAGCGTCAGGATTAGAAGCGGTAACCTCCCCCCTTCTTATCACTGATTATCTCATCTTTTGGTGTCTTAGCCCCGTCGTAGCCCAGTTTGGTGTCAGATTGGTGCTATGTGACGCCAAAAAGGCGCCGATTGGCTTTGTAGCCAGAAATTGACATCATGGTCGCAATCAGGACACGGAATCATTCCTGCGTACGAGTTTCAAGAACATTCGATAAAAGACTGTCGCGCCTAAGTTGATGGCACAGAGTTAGCGCGAGAAGTGAATGTCATATTTGCAGTGAGAACCACCAAAAATCCCTGAATGAAAACTTTTAGAAGAAAAGACTTTTTGCTTTGCCTACAAGTCCCCATGGAGCTGTAATAGTGCATCTGCGTCAA